ACACCCATTTCAACCAGAATTATTAGCATGTCTAATAGCAATCCTGCTATTAAAAGTGTATTCTATAAGATTCTGCTTGTTATGAAATAAACTTCTATAGTTTTTAATTTTAAGGTTTGAGTTAATAATCTTGCTTTGCAAGTCTTCCATAATTCAGCAATAATATTATTCTATTTCATTATATTTTAGTTTGAATTTGTTCAGAATGACTCCTCTCTTTTCATATGATCTAAGAATTCTTGTTCCATTAAAGACATTTTATTAATCTCTCTCCTTTCAAACCTTTCATTTTTATTTTATTTTAAAATACCTATGATTCCTTCTTTTTATTATGATTGGCAATTTATAAAATATAGGGTTGAAGCCTAAACTGAAATCCAAAAAGTGATTTGGATATAATGGGACATGCACTTAGTGTCTTAAAAAAATGCATCTTTCCTCAGCAGTGAGTGACTACCTCCACAATTTCCTCTCAATCCTGGGGAAAGATGTGTTTAATTTAAAGCATTCCCAATGGATGCTATATGCGTGCTCACATGAGCAACATTTATTAGTAATGTACAGAGATTAATTCCAGGTCTTTACACAGCTGTAACAATTATTTTTATATTTGAAAAAGAATAAAGATACTAATGTAATTGGTTAATTATAAATGTGCTTTTCATTTGTCTATATATTGACATATCTTTGTAAGTCATATAGGATTAACCAAGTGCATTAAGCTGCACTATATAGTACATATGAATTTATATCTTTAATTCCAATAGAAATAAGCATAAGTTTTCTACAAACTTTCAAATAATTTTCCTTTCCTAACTTTACCAAGAAAGACAGATGAAGCTTACAGGCATTTTCTACATTCTTTTACTATTTTTACATTAAGTATGTTCTTTATCAAAGTATATTGGAATGATTTGGCCTATATTAATGATGCATTATTTTGCTGCCACATTTAAAAAATGTTACAGAAATATTTTTGTTTCTTTTTTTTATTCCATATTTTTCTTTAAATTAAAACTTACTATAACCTAAAACGTATTCATTTCGGAAGAATGTCGAGCATTATGCATATATTACTAACGTTTAAGATAAAGGTATATTCTTTAGCATACCACCTAGCCACTATCTTGGATGAAGTGAAACAAAAACCCTACCAATTGGGATAGAAAGGTAGCATAGCATCATGGCAATTTTACCTGAATAGAAAGATGTCATACTTTCAGTAACCTAAATTCATCTAAATGTAGAAGAGGTAAATTGTGCAAAAAATGTTTAAACATATGCATGAAAATAATTTACACAATATGGGCAAATATGTGGTAGGGTAAATGTTAATTTATACTAAAATTTTAATTTGCTAAGCCTGACTTCAAATTCAATTTGGTCTTCCTAGTTTACAACAGTGACAACATGTTCACCTTAAACAAGTTTTAATGGCTTAATATGAAGCCAATACATAGGCTATTTCCAAAAGCACTTGTTATATGCTCTACTTTAATGAAATCTATGACAGAAATAACATTCACAATCTGTTTTTTTAAAAGCTCAAAAATATAATATTTTAAAATGAACATTTCTGGGATATTCTAAATATTGATAAAAGAACCAGACTTTTCAGTAAGGCCCTATCAATAGCTTCATGTTTTTAAAAATGTTTAAATGATATCAATAGATTTGACATTTGAGTTGATTTATCAAAAAAATATATTTAGAATGCATTGGATTCCCCAAAGAATGTGCTTGAAAAGAAAGATATGAGATTTTGTTTGAAAAAAGTGTTCATTGATCCATATAATATGGTCCTGCCATCATTTGGTACTTTTCAGGATTGGCATTTTAGATTTATGGGGAAATTTTAAATGTTAAAAATGTTAATGTTATTTCAAATTATACACTAAACTTTTAGAAACTGTTCATCAAGAATTATATTTTTATGGTTGTAGTGTACATGGCAGGTGCCTAGAAGAATTATATGAGAAGTTGAAATGGTGTATTATTTCAGAAGTTAAGCAATGACTTTTGGACGTATAATCCATCCTGGAAGTAAAAGTATTCTTTACTAATCAAAAGATGAAACAGCATATACTATTTTGGCAGAGGTTTTATGATACCTTACAATAATATTTTGTATTTGATTACATTATAATACCATATGCATCTACAATTAAACCACAGACATTTAATAATATAAGGTGTGGAGAGTTGAAATATTTGCTATTTCAACTTTTTTATTTTATACAATATTTTACTATTTTCCCATTGCTGGTTAATATTTTAAAACTTTTTTGAATTGTTTGAAGCCAATCAATGAAAAAGTAATATATAACATAGCAATGCAATGTTTTGGTTTTAAAGGCAAAACTACTTCAGAGTACACAAGGCAAAATGTAACACTTATCTTGTTAAAGCAAATGTGGTTTTTCCTAGGTTCCATAACAAATTGAATCTGGGAAAAGATGGCTGCTTTCAGAAGTTACAGATGGATGCCACATTCTCATGCTCTAAAGCAGTGATCCCCAACCTTTTTGACGCCGCGGCCCGGTACCAGCATCAGCTGGGCGCCGCGGCCCGGTACCGGCATCAACTGGGCGCCGCCATCTTTTTTTGATGAAAAAGTGCTTCCGGTGAGCTTTCTACCCGGAAAAGCTCACCGGAAGCACTTTTTTACCAAAAAAAGATGGCGGCGCCCAGCAACCAGCGGCCCGGTAAGACTTGTTCCGCGGACCGGTACTGGTCCACGGACCGGCGGTTGGGGACCCCTGCTCTAAAGCACTCTTGTTTCTGAATTCAAATCACATCCCAACTTTAATATATAAACTACATAATTAAATACATCTACATTTTGCAAGAAATTCTTAATTATTTGTGTTATGAGTCTAATTCATGCTCCATTAACAATGTATAGATAGTCAACCAGGTGTGTATAGTCAGGTAAATGGCTTACTTTCTCACACCTATCCAGGTGTTGCAGCTGAAGTCACATGGCTGATATTTTTTTAAGTTTCTGTGAAAATTCTAAATGTGACAATTGGTTTGTATTTAGTTTGGTACTTCAGACACCATATTAACCTGATGTACATTAATCTTATTTTTTGAAAATCACATATTTAAGAGTCACCAGAACTGCAAGAAGAGAAGCAAATAAATTTATCGAATAAATAAATAAAAATAAACCATGGAAAAAATATCTCTTTCCAATGTTGTATGGCTATGATAACAAAGGGAGGAGGGGGCTTAATCAGATTTTTTTTTAAATGGCTTATAAAATATATTCTATGGATATTCTTCAAATCAGTATCATTATTATTTCAGTGGTGAAAGTAAAATATCTCCAACAAATTATTATCCCAAAAAGTGTAAGCTCTTAAAGTGTCAGAAATCTCCTTGTGGATATATATTGCAATACTTTAGGGAGTGCACTAACATTGCTTTAAATCGCCAGTAGTCTGCAAGTGATTTTGACATCATTGCTATATTTTCTTTCATTCCTTACACTCAAATTAAAAGTGTAATACTATCTTTGTACTCAAATACTGCTGAAGACTCAATTCTTCTAATATACAAAGTCTTGTATAATCAAGAGTCCCAGAGAATGGGAAAATTCCTTTCCAATCAAATCCACAAGTCAAAATACACTCAAGTTTCATGGAAAATGTTTCAGATCCTTCTTTAAGTAAAATGTTGCTTCCTTTCATATTCTCCATCTTTTTAATATCCCTTAATATCCAACTTCTTAAGGAATTAAAGAAACATCCATATGATTTTAGCCAAAGTTCCAATTGTGCTGATAGCAAGTGATATAAAAATGTATTACATAATGTTTGTCACGATCGCAAAACAATATAGAAATGAAGCACAATTTAAAATAGCAAGGAAGGACTGAGGGGAGAAATCTGCAAAAGGTTTCTTAGGGAATATTGTACTACCTTTAAAAACCAAAAATTTGCTTTCTGATTGCAAAACCTTTCAACTCTCACAGAGCTCCATCACCACAAAATCAATATAAGGTTGCAATCCTACACATACTTATTATGATGGAATAACTTACTCCATTAAACATAGAAGAAATTTCTTCTGAATACCCGTAAACAGTATTACACAAACAGACCTATAATTTGCAGTGCAAACTCCACCTCCTCTTGCCACAACCATAGGCCTAAGACAGTCCAGATGGCACATGCAAGCCAATATTTAACTGTCTCTCAATGCCCTATTAGAGCACATCTAATTATTCAGATCTTAAGGCTTCCTCAAAAACATAAGGAAACATTAAATATTTATTTAAATTAGTGGAAATTACCAATATTTGTCAAGGTAAACTTAAAAATAAATCCATATAAATTATACTAGCCTAACTAAAATGTATTGTTTTAATGTTTTAAAAAATATTTTAATTGCTTTGTCATTTTAGAACTGTAAACCACCCACAGTGAGTTAAATGACTATAGAAATGAAATAAATAAAAAAATATTTAATTCCTAATTTATTAGAAATTGAATAATTTTGTAGACTTAGATTTTGACCATCACAAAATTAAGTTGTTTCGTCTTTTCGACCCTTCAGCAAGCAACCCAAGGAACTGAAATGCTGCTGTCTCTGGTGTCTCTATTTCTCCCAAAGGAAACACAAATCCTTCATCCCACCTAACATATGCCTCTTATTCTCCCTCGTATGTTCAATTTCTTTAAAGCACTCCCTTCTCTGAAAAAATGCCCATTTTTTTTTTTCCTAATAGATACTGACGCCCCTGCTACAGCTGCTCCTCTCTTCACGTGTCTCCAAACAGTGACAGCCTCCAAAGTGGCTTTTCTTAATGTGACGACCTGCACATAACTTGGAGTATAATTACTGTTCCTAGTTCGCGGATGACGGGAATCATAGCTGTGTAAATTCAGAGGACGACAGTCGGGGTCGAGAAACCGCATATATCTTAGGCGCCACTGCTTCCGTACTTTTGCTGAACTGACAACACATGCACACGTGCGCGCCTGCCCACTTACTTGGAATTGAGGTCCATGGCCCATGGCCCGATACGAACCAGACCCAGCAGGACTGGGTCCTCGCAAAAGCCCGCTTCCCGGTGCTGGGACAACAGGCGAAGGGACGCCCGCTGCCACCGAGACAGCCGCCGATGGTCCCTCCGGGGGCGGCGGAGTCAGGGGATAGCCGCCGCGTCCGGCCATAGGAGCTGTTGGCTGGAGGCAACGGCTGCAGATACCTCAAGCGCGTCCGAGAGAAGGAAACAGCGCTGGCTGATAGACGGAGCTGGCAGTTCAGTACATGCCACGGACTCCTCCTCTGGGGCCGCCCCCTCTCAACCGCCTGAGCCCAGCCTGGCCCTGCGGCGGGGAAAGCGGGGGAAGGAGGGGGAGGAGGAGACAAACAAGCGCCTCTTGGGGCGGTACGACGAGCCAGCGCCGCCGCTCAGAGGCGCCAAAGAACAGCCTTGGGAACCGACGTGCCATCTGTTCACGGGGTGCAACTGCACGCGCGGTCGCTGCCGCCTCGCCGCGGACATGGTGCGTGAGCTCCTCGACTGGAGGTTTGCGCTTCAGTGTCCTTCTCCTGGGGTCGGGAGGGGAGATTTTTTCCCCCTTCTTCTTCCCCTGAAATTGGATGAGAATGGTTGGGGGAAATATGGAATCATTTTTTTTTTTTACATAAGGCATCAATACAGGCGGTATTACACTGCCACTGGATGCCAGTTCTTGAGCCAGCAAAGGAATTTGCACTACAAAGAGTTCGTAATTGCGCCTCAGGGTTCTATCCTGCCTCAGAAAAAAGGCCAGCAAATGTGTTGCTCTATGCTTTATATATTTTCGTTAAGCAAAATGAGATTATTCCCTGAATGGTGTCCACTGAGCATCACCGGTTATAAAAAGCAACAGTCGCTGTCAGTAATACCTGTAGCATTCACCTTAAGGATTTCAGGTGATGCTTTGAACCGTGGATTTCTCCATATTTCAAATGGCCTGAACTTCAGAAAGATAGGGACACTCCATTCCTGTGACCTAATGTTTTCTTTGCAGGAGAAAAAAGAAGCAGGAGAACTTTTTTTTTTTTTTTTGCATCAAGCTGGAGTTCAAGGGGGAGCCATCAATAATGAGAGAGCTTCATACTCTGCTAACAGTACTGCTGGAGTAGCAACGCTGATGACAACTGACTGTGACCAGTAACACTTCAAAGTACTCTGCGGGGAGCAGCAAAATTGAGTTGGAGTAGGCAGAACGGTGCCATCTTCTAGAACATAAAATATGGCCATATGATGTGTGTTTTCATCAGAAGCAGCAAAAAAACCCCAAAAAAACCACCACCTGATGGTCTCATTGGAGACAGAATCATCAACTCAAAGCTGGCAGAACTCTGCCCCATTGTCAGGCTTAAATTGGCTTTCTCTCTCTCCCTATCTTCATCCTCTTCCAAAAGATTACTAAATCCAAGTATATTATTATTTTATTAACCTTATATACCTAATTTATTTATTAGACTTGTATGCAACCCATCTCATCCAGAGAGGACTTCCAACAATTTTGTGCATCTCATTACAATCAAAACAAGGAAATTAGAATAAAACCATTTTTTTTGTAATATATGAGAAACATACGATTTGGACAATTGCTTCAGAAGCCAGTCATCAGACAGTACTCGGACTGATTCCCCTGCAGTGGGTTGAGCTATATCAAAAGTGGGCAGGCTTTTCAACTTTCTGCCTTCTGTCCTATTTTGAGTGTTTTTCTTTATTCATTAAACAGCTTTGTTTTCAGATTAAATATGTGCAATCTTCAGATACATAATAAGAAAAATAGTTTGGATCCAGCATATGTAGATATTAAAAATAAAAAAACTACAAACTTTTCTGGGCTTGCGTGGCTACCTCCTCAATACCTTTTTAACTCAAAAGCAGATTTTCTCTGGTCTGCACAGTCTTAGTGCAAGCCCTTGGTGTGACTTCTTTAAGGAATGCTAAGAGGTAGAGCAAACACGCACACCAGATCTGAAATGCATTTTTCCATCAAAAATTTCTGCAGAGAAATTGTCTCAAAATGGTAGGTAGAATTGGACAATTGAATCCTTGTCACTTTTTAATGTGTAATCTCACATGTTGCGCACACATAATGAGCAGGGTTCCAAGTGTCTGATTATGTAAATTATTTTGATGTTAGTGACTGCCTCTGTAAATGCCTATGTCTCATTTTGAATACTATATACTCTTGGCTGATGCAAATTGGGGGCGGTCTTACAGTTATCAGTCGTTAAATGCACTAGTGATCTCTATTCCCAGAAGTATCTTTAATAGCTGGTTGATATTCCAACCTTTCAAAGACATTGATAACCTTACTTTAAAAAACAACAACAAGTTTTATTCAATTTTTCACATGAATTACAAAACAAAAAAGCTCTTTTCAGTGGACAACATAATTCCGGGTCACCACCTTTACATGCAAATATTACAATAGTTATATAATCATTTTTTTCCATTCAACCTCCTATCTTATCCAAATTTTACTTAATTCTATTATCATCTTTTCCATTCCAACTTTTACAGAAGAAAAGAACAAACAAATTAATCCTAGTCTCTGATATTAGTTTCAATCTAAACATCCTCTCAGTTCATTTCAATTATTTCAAATATATTTCTTAAACATTAACATTTCTTTTAAAAATAAAAATAATAGTATGCATTCACCTAATAAAAATTATCAATGTCCCTTCTTCCTCTTAATCTATATTACCCTATTAACTGACTAATTTATAATTACAAATACTTTTATTGTTACCTTTTCCAAAATACTCTTTTCTCATTTAAATCACCTATAATTCCCATATCTTCATACTTATAACCTTTTAATTCTTTAATCTGTCAGATTTGCAGTTTCATGTGATAACCTTACTTTTGTGGTTCATATTGGTTACAATGGTTTCTAGACTGGAATGCATTCTGTGTAGGGATAGCCATTTTGTTTAGAGATAGCCTATTTAGTCCAGATACTGTTGGTGATGCTACATCAGGCAGCCTAGATTACAGCAGAGCACCTGAACTTGTATATGTTCTGCCTTTGAGCAATGGTACTACCTCCAAATTAGTTATCAAGCCAGGTTCATGGTTCTGCTTAGGACATTTGTGTATGGGGATGCCCTTGAGTCAGTCAATATTAACTCCTGGCAACTACCTGGACATGTGCCTGCTACAGTTTTCTTGATTTCAGAAGTGGTTTGCCATTGCTTCCTCCCTAGAGTTGGGAGTGGGGGTAGAAATAGGGAAAGGGAGAGGGGGTAGAGAGGACTGTTGACTTTCCTGGTTTCTAGCCAGCACCTTAACCATTCTTCCACTACTCTTAACTATTACACAAAAGTGACTCATTTAGGACATATTATCCTAATGGAGCTGGCTAGGTTACTCATGTGACCTAGTCAATCACTTGAGATCATCGCAAGAAGCCTTGTAAGAATAACACAGTACAAATAGAAGAGAATATATGAAGCTCAAGGTTGGATTGCAGAGTCCTTGGTGCCTCCCGAGTTTGTTTGTTTACAGACATTTTATTACCTGACTGGGTCACTTCACCAGTGCTGATGATAGCACAGTGCCATCTGGTGGTTACTGATACATAAGTCTGCCCTAGAATTTTGCAATTGCTCTTCCCAATTTTTTTTCTTTCAGGTCTTTCAGAATGCTAGGTAAATGGATAATTTATTTTTATTTGTTTTTATTTTTGTTTTCCATCACCTTTTTATTGACTATACTTTTACATTGTTTTAACTTACTGATTTTATTATTGCATTGTATATTTTATAAATCAAGATGGGTTGTACAGGAAATGGTGTCACAATGTAAAATGATGCGTCTATTCTTTATTCTCATGAACAACAAATATGTATTATAAAAGAAATTGTACTCAAGTGTTATAATAAAATGACCAAGAATGCAAATCTAATATAAGCAAATATATCAGCCAATTGAAATATATGTCTGTATAAACAAATGTCTGTCTGTATATACAGCAATATATTATAATTAGGAAAAGAATACCATAATGGAATGCTACAATCGAGAAGCTTTCTCCCTTAACATAATGTTCTTAAAACATTTAAAGAAGAGGCATCTTAAACCATTAGTAGACTGATACTAAGTTGCATGGTTTATAACATCACACCATTACGTTTTTATGTATGTCAGCAGTTATTCAGTAACTGGGCTGCACTGTACTTTGGATTAAATTCCCCAAAGATGTGTAGGGTTTATAGGACTGGCAAACTGACACCTCTACATCTACAACTTTTTTTATAGGACTGGCAAACTGACACATCTACATCTACAACTTTTTTTAAAGGGCTCTGACCTTTCCTGATAAATTCAGAAGCAGCTGTATGATCTTGGGGGGAAAGTGGGACTGATTTAGGAATTGCAGGAAAATTGTTCCATTTTCACATGCTCTGTAGCAAGCTTGGGGAATCCAAAAGGCCACACAAAAAAGGAAGGCTGTCATACCAAAGGAAACATGAATCATAGTTTAAAAACTATGTTTTGGAAACAATTGCCTTTAAAGGAGAAGATTTGTAGCCCAAGGTTGAAATGAGAGGTCCTTGGTGCTCTCTGGGTTTGGTTGTTTTCTTGTAAACATTATTTACTCAAACTAGGTAACATCATCATCATCATTAGTGCACTGGTAATGTTAGCTACCAGTAGTTGGGTATATGAAACATCTGTAAGAAAACCTTAGAGAGTACCAAGGACCCCCTCATAGTTGTTATATATATTACATAATATAAATAAAACTTGATTTCATTGAGGGCTGCATCAGGGTTGTGTTGGCCCCCGGTGGGCTGGGGTGGGTGTGGCCAGAGTAGGCATGGCCAGCTTGATGTCACTTGTGTCAGGGGCACCTGTGGTGACCCAAGTGCTCTGCCAGTGAAAACAGGCTCCCGAGCTCTGTTTTCAGCCACGACGATCTCCTGCAGCCCTCTGCCAGCAAAAACAGTTCAGGGGGACTATATGCCCCCCCGGGCTCTCTTTTCGCTGGTAGAGGGCTGTAGGAGGCTGTCACGGCCAAGCACAGAGCTTGGGAGGGCCATGCATGGCCCTCTATTCAAAGTTTTGCAGCGTTAATTCAGCGCCAGAAAAATAAACACAGATGGCTGATGCTTCATTTAACATCTTTATAAACATAATGAATAGATTTTACAAACCAGTTGTAGATTTCTCCAACATGGACCTAACTCAAACAGAAACATGTTGCAAGTAACTTCAGTAGCACGAGCAAAAC